ATTATTGTAAAAAATTCGTATATATTGTTTAACTTTGGCTACTGTTTACTGATTAATAATTATACCTCTATTGTTTTGTTGCTTGAAAGTCAACAGCTTTGCAGCCATGGCACGCGGTCATCAAAAAATACAATCGCAAGCAAAGGCCGCTGAAAAGCAAGCGAAGATGAAAAAGCAGCAGGGCCACAGTGCCAACGATCAAAAGAAAGCAGCACAAAAAGCACTCGTACATGTTTGTGTCCTCTGCAAAGTAAGAAACAACGTTATCTAATTATCTTAAATACTCATAAAAACAAAACTTAAATTCTTCCACGCAGTCGCAAATGCCAGATCCTAAGACTTACAAGCAACATTTTGAGAATAAACATCCGAAAAATGATATGCCTGAGGAACTGAAAGACCTCTAACATTATTATTGAACATTATCAAATAAACGACGAGTTGCCTACGAGTACGAATAATTGCAACAATAATATTTGAAACAATCAATAATTTAAAATAAAATGCAAAAATATACGCAAACTTATCTTTAAAACGCATACATTGATTGGCTTGCATAATAAAAGTTTCAATTTCTGTCATAGTAATTATGAAATACATTCGGGGACTTAGGGCATTTAGTATATTTTATAGGTTTAAAAACCATATGAAAAATAAAATTTGTGTACGATTTTAAAACAAAAAGTATTGGTATCAAACAAAACGAAAAGGGTTATAAATGACCATGTTAAGAAATTGAATAAAACATAAATAGGCTCAGACAGCTGGTAATTGCGGCATCTGCATTAAATCTAAATGTTTGCGATCGGGAAACTCTGCTAAAATGGTTATACCAATGTTATTATCCTGTAATAGCGGCGTTTCTTCATGATATCCAAACCAATAGATGATAATACCGGGTCCAAATCTACATAAATAATATATGGAATAGAATCCGATAGTTGATTGCAAAGACAAAAGTTACCGATTGCAATAGCTCAATAATTGCTGCTGTATGTTCCATTTATGGCTTTTGGGATCTCCGAAGTTAGCCTTGCTCTCTATCCAGTTAACTATAAGACCTTTGTACAGGAACGGCAATATAACCTTGATATCGGGTGTCTTGTCATACCCCATACGACGCAAATCTCGCTCGTCATAGAAAAAAATGCCAGCTGCATTAGCCAATTGTTTAAGTTTTAACTCGTACTCTTCACCAATCATTCGTCGTCGAAGATCTGTAATAGGTCCCTCCTGATTGTCACTGTATAAACATTGCTGTACGTTGGCGGCTAGACGTGTGTCATCAATCAAGTGGGGATGCTTTATCAATTGGGAAACAGCAGGTCTTTGCCTCATATCATATTTCTCTTGCAATAGAAGCCGACACATCGCTATGGGATTTATAGATTCCGCACAGGCCATGCGTATAAGAAGATCTCTATCATTATACAAGTGGCATTCATCGTCGTATCTGAACAAATGTTTCAAATCATTCATGCGAAAAGCCATTAAAGCAACGCTATTATTTAAACTTACATTTTCAACAGCAATTTGGCGCGATTCTCGTGCCGCCAGTGCTGACTGCGCGCTTTATTATTAAATAATTGCGATTGTAGTATGCAAACCAGGGCTAATGGTTCAATGTCATTGAAAATGCGAGTTACCATTTTTAGCTCGCAGTCCATCGGCAGCCCATCACCGCAGAATTCATTTATGAATTGACAGATTTGAGTATACTCTACATTGGTCAATATCTTTTTTTTTATTGGTTTCCTTTTTTCCACTTTATTTCCACTTTGTTCCATACTTTAAAATTCAAATTTAAATTTTGCTCTTAATTCCGATCAGCCGATGAAACCATTCTTGACAGGAATGATTACACCATAAGTGATTTTAATACAGTTCTTCATACAACTGAACTAGTTTATCACACCAAGCTGAGAACGATTCATCATATAAAAATAAGAAATTCTCTTATATTTGCATAAGCGCGCACTCAAAATTTTAGTTTTATTAAATTTCAATAAAAACGTAAGCTATGTGAGGCTGCAATACAAAAAATAAAAATAAATAAATAAACGCATATCACTATCGAATATACATGTCTATGTACATATATGAAAAGTTAAATTTGGAAAATTTAAAACGTTCATGTTTGAAAACACCATTTTTAATGAACAGCAATAAAGATATCAAAATGGTAACAATATTCCATTCTAAATTCTTATAATAATTAATAATAATTGACTTTTTCTTGAATTCATATACATATGTGTTTATATATTGGCGATTGTTTGGAATGCTTTGAATTATGAGACTTTAATCGATAACTGGAGCTGCAACTCTTAATCAAAACAGCTGGTAACACTCTGACCAAAGTAATAGCCATGACATACATACATAGATAGCATTTGAGAAAGAGAGACACGTCAGAATAAATCTATATTTGTTAAATTATTTTCACAACTATTTCCCCTGTTGAATATTAATCCAAAAACGTTTTACCATGAAATATATCCTAGTGACTGTAATGCTGACGCTCTATCTAGCTTATTTAGTTATGGCATTGCCTGTAACGAAAAATAAAAGGGAGGAAAAGAGCAAGGAGCCAAGCAGCACAACAGACACAGCTGACGTAGAAGCTGCATTGGAATATGAACGGTATTTACGCGAAGTTGTGGAAGCCTTGGAAACTGATCCAGAGTTTAGGAAGAAATTGGACAAAGCACCTGAGGCCGACATACGCGTAAGTTTCGCGATATGGGCATTTTCCTGTAAAACTACTTTTTGTGGCCTGCGAACCCCTCGGTTTTTGTACCCTGAAACAGAGCTCGCAAATGAGAGTTGATCGTTTTTTCGTATATGCTCTGCTTCGTATCAAAACCGAAAAGCTTGTGCAGACACGATCTCTCTGAGGGACACTCTTTATGATCTTTGCCTTCGTGTGCATGTAAATACATGCATACATACATACAAAAAGAACTCAACAATCGCGCGTGATTACCCATACAAACGCAAATGACAGTTTGCTTCATTTAACTCAAGCAAACGATCAGTGTTTGACTTGAGCGAAACAAAACAGAAATAACTGTCTCGCTCAGAGCGCGAGCGAGCTAAGCCAGACGCGACGAAAACATTTTCAGTCTGAGTTTTTTTTTATTGTGTCAGTGAAAGACACTTATTTGCAGACAACGAAAAAGTGTTAACAGTTATTTGCGAGCTATGCCCTGAACCCATTGAAAATTGGAAATCAGGGTAAATTGGTTTTGTTGAAATGTATGTAACATTTCAGAAGATATAAGAGCTAGAGACTTCAAATTTTTTTTAAAATGTCCGTAATTACAGCGCGCATATCAAGTTTATCATTAAAAATCGATAACTCATCCCGATCTTTTTTTATCGATAAAAACCTTATCGAAAACCAGTTATAAAATTATATCTTCTACACCTTTATTGCTAGAGTCTCCAAATTTTTAATGTATGCTTATATGCAATTTATACAATTTCGGTTTTTGTTAAAATTTACCCCCCACCCTTAAATTCACCCCCTCACCCTCACTTTTGTAAAAAGCGTATTTCAAATACTAGAGACTTGTGCTTTGGCAATTACATGCATATCCATGTTATAATCATAATCTGAAAGTTTCATGAAGATCGTACGTCCATAAAAAAAGTTATTAAACAATTAAGTTCTCATAGTAAGCGCACACTGCAGCCCATGCGTGTTTATGCGTGGGTGCTTGTGTGTGTATGTGTTTGTGTATGTGTGTGTNTTTATACATATATATATGTATGTATATACATGTATAACTTTGCGGTCATTTTACTAAATATTCGGGCCACAGGCCAGGTGAGCCGGGGTAAACAGCCGCTCGTTAAAGGCACGCACAAAATTTATGGGTCGGCTTTGCGTTGCGTATCGGGTCATCAGATAAGAGGGGAAGGGGAGTGCAAGGCTGAACTCTGGGGGTTGAGCAAAAACCAACACAAAGCCGTGAAGCGGTCACAACTTGTTCCACTTTTTTGGTTTACTCACTCCTTTTGAAACGCTTTTGCTATTTTTAAAGCCTCAGTTGCTCGCCTGTTTGAATCGAGCAGCTGCCCGGGATTCATGCATGCGCAAACCGAACGAAAGTTATTTATGTCCTTTTGATGGCAGCGCCTGGCAAATCCAGGCGACACTTTAAAATTGCCACCGCTAATTGGATTTAATGGGCTTCATGCCCGAATGGCAAGCCTAATTTAAGGCCAGTTAGCTCTATGTGAGCCCCTACATACAGACATATATACACAAACTCACTTAAAGTTGTGGCGAATTTAAACAGATTATTATTGATAGTGATTGAGCGATATGGGAAAGTTTTATTTATGGCTTATAATGAGCTTATAGCATATTTAAAAATATGGAAGTGCTCGTCATATTATTTAATTATCACATATTAGTTAATCTAGGCTTAATGTGAATTATATGAAAATTGAAAAGCAAAGGAGAATTGATGGGGTATGCTGGATGCGAAGAGATATGGATATGGATGGCGTATTGGAGTATGTTGAGGCTTGTAGGACAAAAGAGCGTATTATCTATACGCTGTATAAATATAGAGTGAAAATAGAGATAATATTTCCTGCTCTATTACAAACGTGTATATGAACAGTTAAAAAATATTTTTCTAATTTTATTGATTTAAAAAAGACTATATAAAAGACTAATTTTATTGATTTAAAAAAGACTATACAGTCTAAAAAAAAAAAAAAAAAGCAATGAACAAGTAAATAAAAGATCACTCAAGCCTGTACTACCTTCAGTGACAAGGCAAATATTCTACCGAGTCATACCGAATTGATATTTATGCGCAAAGCACTGTTACCAAAGACAACGCCTCCCTATAAATGATGTACTATATCATCATAAATGGCATATATGTGGATTAAACATGAAATTAAAAGCTATACAAAATATATGTAATAATTACTGTTTAATTGAAATTTCATTTTCCACTAGTCTTCAGCCTAATAAAACGAAATTTCTAATAAACAAAGTCAAGTCAATATCTAACAAATTTGGACGACTCTTATTTGATTTTACTAAGGCCAAGGCATCCTTTTTAATAATGCCATAGATGAAACTGGTTTCTTTTGCTACTACTCTAACTTGGGGCCATTCTTACTTCACAGCCTCACTCCGCATTACTTTTCAATTATCTCACTTTACTTCGCAAAGAAACGAGGCAATAGATATATGTCATCACAAATGACACAAATGACAAAACAGCATATCACACACTTCATATATAGTCTATATCGTAGTGCGAACTCAACAACAATGGCAACAAAATGTAACTGGGCCGAAACATTTCACGTAAGTAAAAGCGTTTGGTAAATGAAATGGCGGCCACAGGAAACGGAAATTTCATTGCCGACTTGTTCATAAAAACTGGCAGCACTAAGAAATTGGCCATTGGCAAAGTTGGCGAGAAAAATGCCCCAGCGCCGCATAGTGAACGGGGGCGCCACCTGCCAAAAGATAAAACGCACTTTAAAGTTCCAGGCAGCAAAAAAAAAAAAAAGCACACACACACAGATGAAACGGGAAGGCAACATGAATGAGAAAGAAGAGAGCAAAATAAGTGAAATGAGCCAACGAAGCGGCATATGCGATGTTTTTCTTTTATTATATTTGAACTTTAACACTGCTACAATATAAATTAAAATGGCGGGCACTTCACATGCAGAGTGTCTGGCAATGTAGGCCATTGAAGTTTTTGTGCTTGTGCGTGGGCTCTTCGCTCTACAGCTCGCTCTCTGTTCCACACAATCGCTTCTTGCCTTTGAGGCTGGCTTGCACTTAGCCCTCTGGCAGCTGTCATATGAAATTTTGTAACACACACACACACATCCATATAGGCAGCCGTGCCTATAGAGTGTGCGACAGAGGATGTTGAAACAGATTCGACTCTTAATAATTTCCGCACTCGACTTGATCGAAATCATAAAATTTTATGAGCATGCCAAGAGCGCGTAAGTGGCAGTTCTCTCTCTCTCTCTCTCTCTCTCTCTCGCTGTGTGTGTTTGTTGGGTTTGCCAAAATGGCTGCCAGACAGACACAAAGAGCAGAGCAAATGGCAACAATGCGACAGTGAGACACTCAGACAGACGCGTAAACCCAAACTTCAGCAAAATAAAAATAAAAATAAAAATAAAAAAACCTTTTCGTTTTCTTTTTTATTTTTTCTTTGAAAGCCACAGGGCAACTGAGCAGAAAGTTTTTCTCTTTTTTTCGTGTAATTCAAAATGAGTGATAGATGAAAAGAGACAGCAAGCAAAAGAGACTGTGAGAGAGACAGAGGGAGTGTGTGTGGCATGAATAATGGAGGTTATTTCATATCAGCCAAAACTAAAGTTGACTTTTTCTGGCGTTGATTGAATGCCCTGCTGTGGACACGGGGCAAACTCCTGTGAAAGGTACAGATTTTCATTTATTATATTCCATAATTTAATGCTAAAACTGGTTAGATGACGGAGCTGATAGATTAATATAGATATTCACATATGTATTAAAATTTATGTAAGTAATTGTTACCAGCGAAGTAATTGCTAGCCAATTTCTTAAGTCTATAGAATATGGCATATAGAAATATGATTTTAAAAAATCATTTTACCCACTGATTTTCATTTTTCATTTGCAAAAGCTTTGTACTGAGGTAAAGTCTTGCTGAGGTGAGGGATTTTTTCCATATGGAGATGAAAATTATACATATCTCACGGTACTCAAAGTAAGCTGAGTAAATATAACCATAGTATTCTCTTGAGTCTTGGGCAG